CGAGAAACAAAATCACACAAAGCCGCCCAAGTTCAAGGGAAGAAAAAAAAAAAAAAAAGCAAGAGAGAAAGCGGCGCATCACCATTTTCTCAAAACATTTGGGTTCAAGCCAATGGCATCGGCTGAGAAGCATCAACACACGCAAGAAGTCAAGACAGTGTCCACAATATCCGATTGCCCACTCAAACGGCGGAAGATCACTTGCACTGATGTAAATATGCCTTTCTGAAGGGTTCGAGGAAGAGATTTCCAACGCCATGTTCCGTATATGATTTACAATGAAATATAAGAAATAAAGCTCGTATCAAAACAAAGGCGGAATGAAAGAAGTGAAGATTGTGTCTCCACTGTAGCAATATTTGCCTTATCAGTTCGAATTTGATCAAGAACTTAGTTGCCCCCTTGACCAGGGGGTGGGGGCTGTGCTGACCCGCTAGATGTTCCAGCTTGTGCTCCTCCCATCATGAACCCCGGAGGGAACATGGGCATACCGGGAAAGGAAAAGCCAAAACCGGGCACAGCAGGAGGAACGCCGACATTGTTTGCATTGGAAATATCTCGATCGGGTTGGCCACCATGGCCCCCTGGGCCCATTCTAGCTGAAGGCCCGTCCCGGTCTGGCCGGGGGAAACGGTCCTGCTGAGTGCGGGATGAGATAGGACCCCGTTTGCCCCCGGTATCAGTTGCAATCCGTCTGCTAATAGCTATAAGAACAAGTCAATTTGGAGTATTTCTTAAGTTTGAATATAAGATAAACAAACCTTTAGATGAAACCCCAGCACCGATCTCGATATCTGGCTCTTCAACAACCATGCCGCTCTCGATGGGTCTGCCTCCAGTCCCGCCATATTCAGCAGTGAGCATCCATTTTCGATCTGCCTCCGTGAGTCGTTCGACCGGAATTATACTAATTCCTGTCTGGTAGTCGCTACAGTCACGCGGTCCGAATCCTACACCCCAGCGAGTCTAGAGACTGATTAGACATTATCACGAGGTACGAAAAGGCGTACTTACTCTAAGTTGCATGTCCCCAGACTTATAAGATTCCATGCCTTCACGAGCATGCACAGCATCCTGGCGGCTGATCATCTTGATGAATGCATGCCGTTTATCTATGTTGACAATGCAGGTCTGGACAATGCCAAACTTGCCGAATAGAGAGCGTAAGTGCGCCTCGGATGACCTATGAAGTTGTTAGAATCCGAGATGTGGAAAATCACTGACATTGACTCACGTGACACCACCGACGAAAAGGGTTCGACTCAAAACTGCATAAGAAATTAGTTGAGATGGCGAAAACAGTGTTTGCGATCGAACCGGTACGAACCTTTGATATTGCCTTGCCCAATGGAGTAATCCCACTCGATAAATTTGGGGCCGGGAGGCGGTAGAGTAGGGTCCTTACGAGGAGGAGACGGAGTACGACGTCTACGCCCAGGAGGGCTGCGCTGACGATAATCATTCCCACGCCGACCGCGGGGATCGCCACCCCTGCGACCGGGCGAGTCACCATGGTACTCACCGTAAACGGGACTATCACGGCGACGAGGAGGGGACACATCACGACGTCTATCCCAGCCTGGGGACCGGGAACGGCGACGATACTGGCCTGGAGGTGAGCGCATATAGTCACGGTCCCGTTCACGGTCCCGGTCGAACTCACGTGACTGGGAATCAGGACGGCCCCAGGCATTAACATTTTGACCTGGTAAACTAAAGCCAGCAGCCGGGGCAGGATTCATGTTGCCCATGTTAGCGGCATTAGACAGACTAAGGATCTGCAGAGCGGTGGCCCACTGGTCTTGTGGAATTCCCTGCGCGGCTAGGAGCTGTAAGAGCTGGAGTTGCTGTTGCAGCGCGTCGGTCGCAACAGCGGGAGTGGGCTGAGCTGGGCCTGTAGTCGCCTGTGGCAGTAGCGCAGCCAGTGGATTCTGTGCCGCAGTCAATGGGTTCGGAGTCTGATTCTGGCTTTGCGGTTGTACCAATGCCGTGTTTTGAGCGACATTACTCAAGGCCGCGAAAGGTGTCGCCATAGCCCCAGCAGTAAATGGGTTTACACTAGCCTGCCCATTTTGAGATTGGGATGCCTGGTCTACGGATGACGACACGGGCTGCGGAGCTGCACTCTGCTGGGTTAAAGTACCAAGAAGATTAGACTGCGGTGCTACTGCCGGCGCTGCTGATGCTGGTGGAGCAGCTGTATTTTGTTTGGCCATATCAGCCAAGGCTTTCAATATACTAGAGGTATCCGGCGCCGATTGAGGAGTTGTCGAGGTTGCGCCATTGGATGGAAGCGGTAGCTGCAACTGCTGAAGACCCCCCAGGGGGGTATAATTTGGGGCTGGGGAACCCTCAGGTGTGGTGGACTCAACATCTATAGAAGCAATATCAGAATTCCGTTTGCACTTATCTTGGCGTTTAGAAGAGCCGCCGATGGCTCCTTAGATTATACAGCCAAATCGGGGTACGGCGCAACGGCGTCCATATCATATAAAATGGAAAGGAAGGGAAACAAGCTTACTGTGTGCTGCGGGTGCGTTTAGTTTTTCTTTGAATGAGGCAAGCATGGGGGCGGGGAAAGTATATCCACGCTCCCAAATATCAACCAGCTTCCTGATTTTTTCCTATATGCAGAGACCATGGGATACGTAAGTTGAACTATTCGCCCCAAATTGACAGAATAAACACCTAGAAAAGAAACGGCGGACTCTATGCAGAAAGGGAGGGATATATAGCGGGAGATACGTAGATCAAGTCTTATACAGGCCACAGCGGGATTTGAACACAAATCTCCGCTTTTATTCGGCCGTACGCATGCCCGCAGGTTGTGTGGTAGTTTGATGGCTGTATGCACCTTGCATCTAGAGCGTACCTTTTGATCCTCAGGAGCGTTGTTTATGATATCAGTCATCAAGACAGGTAGTAATTCGGTCACTCTGTTAACACCAGCGGCGAAGGTTCCATCGGAAGCGGCACTACCAGATGGTTGACCTGCCTTGCGCGCTGCTTCTACCCACTGTCGAGTTACAGAGTCTACGACATAGAGTACGCCCAACTTGTGTGTTCCCGGAGCCTTCTTGAAGTGTGTATAGATCTTCTGGATAAGAACGGATTCATTCTGCAAAAAAATAAAAAAGAATTTCTGTTAGCTTGCCATTCACTCCTATGATAGCCCTTGTCAATCGAAGCTAGAAGGGATAGAATACCTGAACATTCGCGGTGCAGAGCGACGTGATACTGTTGATTTTAGATCCTGAGACGCCAGGAGGCTTAAGGGCGAGCATAGACTGGAGATAATTGTCCAGTTCTGCTACAGCAGACGACATTGTTGATAGTATGTATTAGAGGGGTCGGGTCCCAGTACGGAGATATGGTTGGTAGATAATCCCAGAAAGTTCTTTGACAAAACCTATCGCTTCAAATAATATTGTATAGGCGACTGGGTGTATCAAGGGGCCAACGAGTCGTTTCTACTGGGAGATCCAGTGCGGTCAAGAAGATATTGTGATGCTTAGTGATAGCAGATCTGCTGTCTTTGGATCTCAAAACTTTGACGAAAAGTTCCTAAGCGGACTTCTGGTCGTATCACTACAGAATTCCACGAGTGGACTTCTGGCGACCAGGGGGGGGGCTTCCGCCTACAGCTGGAACACAGCCAAGCGATGGTGTCCAGGAATTTTGCGACTCGCGAGCGAGTATGTGTACAAGGTACGTCCTAAGGTGAAAATTGTCAGGTAAGTCAAAAAGAGAGACAGATGTGATAGATTACAGTGTAGAACGAGAAATGTAATAAAGAAGTAGATAAAGGCTGACGTGAAGGTGATGCTGTGAAAGAAATAGTAAGGAAGGAGTGATTTTCAGTACAGGCAGTCAGTCAGGTGAGGAGAAAAATCATAAGTTACGCTAACCCTGAATTGGTAAGCCCACAATTTCACCTGGCACGGCACCTTTTGCACTTTCAGTTGGGGAGGCCTAAAACTTGAAGCGTATGTCACGTGACAATATAGCTACTTAGTAAGCCTCAATGATGACCTTGGGCCAGAGAGTCGAAGGTGGTACTTTGTACGTAGTAAAATACTGTTAATTGAGTTAAGGCGTTGTCCTTCCGGGTGCAGGTCCACAGAGCCGAAGAATCTGCCGTAGTAAAGTACAGAACTACTATCGCGGTATGATACTACAGAGCATGGAGTTCTTTCGATAGCTAAACAGGACCTGCCGCATACTTTGTATCTCTAGCAACGTGATTCAATATGATTAATCGACAACTTGGTTCATAACCTGGCTGTGCTCAATTGATTATCTGATTCTCGGAAAGGAGTACTACAGCTACCTTGGTGATGGGTCCGACCCAGACTCGGGTCGCGGCCGACGTCACTAGCCATAGGAACTTTGAATCAAAGTGGAATACTCCGTTTACGGATGGAATGCGTGCCGAGATCGTCAGTTTTGCTGGCGAGCGACCACGCAGCCTGTAAGATAAAAGACCAAACCAATCTATGTGGTTATAAGCACATGCTGCAGACCTCGGGGGCAAAGGAAGACAAGGATGTCCATGTCGGAGAATTATATTACAGCGAAGAGTTTGATAATAGCAATAATGGAAGGAATTTAGGGGAAATAAACAAGAGAGCAAGCTGTTCTGCCTAGGTAAATATTTACTCCGGTCCTCCGTCCCGCGTAACGGAATCTGGCGGGCAAGGGATCACAGACACCTTACGTCGCCGATGGAAGGGATTCGGGAGACCGGGCTACCTTCCTGGGCATAGCATTACGGTATAGTACGGAATCCCGCCATTGCCTTGCCTTGTTGCCGACCTTTACTGTACCGCCCATGTACCGGCTGTACCGTTACGGTCAGATGGGAAAGAAAAAAAAAAGAGCTTCTCCCGAAACCTCAGCATCTTTTCTTCTTCTTTCTCTCTGTCACTATCTTGATATACCCAGATCCTCTCCATTCTTCAGTTATACTCAACCGCTCAACAAAGGTTGTTTGATTCGACATGGCTTCTTCCTTGAGAATCGGAACTTCTGTTCTTCGCTCCACCTCTCTCGCCGGTAAGCCGGTCGTGCAGTCCGTTGCCTTCAATGGTTTGCGCTGCTACTCTACCGGCAAGACCAAGGTTCGTCATATTGTCCTTGCAACCGATTCTTGACTTGTCTAACTGCCATGATTTCGAACAATGTAGTCCCTGAAAGAGACATTCGCCGACAAGCTCCCCGGCGAAATTGAGAAGGTCAAGAAGCTCAGGAAGTATGCACGACACGAGAGTAATACCTTGACCATCAGTACATTTGCTAACCACGCCATCAACGCTTGTAGGGACTATGGCAACAAAGTCGTCGGTGAGGTCACTCTCGACCAGGCCTACGGCGGTGCTCGTGGTGTGAAGTGCCTTGTGTGGGAAGTAGGTCATGACGCAATGAAGCCGACAGCTGCCGATGAGGATTGCTAATTCTAGTTCAGGGTTCTGTTTTGGATTCTGAAGAAGGTATCCGTTTCCGTGGATACACCGTATGTATCATCCCGCTGTTCTTGCCGGGACCATCGTATACTCATGGTCACATAGATCCCCGAATGCCAGAAGCTGTTACCCAAGGCTCCCGGTGGCGAGGAGCCTCTTCCTGAAGGTACATTAATCCCCTAGAAGGTGATAATTATCGGTGCCTCCTGCTAATATACTATAGGTCTCTTCTGGCTACTGTTGACCGGCGAAATTCCCTCGGAGCAGCAGGTTCGCGATCTGTCTGCCGAGTGGGCTGCTCGCTCTGACCTCCCCAAATTCGTCGAGGAGCTCATTGACCGCTGCCCCAGCACTCTTCACCCCATGGCTCAGTTCTCTCTGGCTGTCACCGCCCTTGAGCACGAGTCCGCTTTCGCCAAGGCCTACGCTAAGGGTATCAACAAGAAGGACTACTGGAACTATACTTTCGAGGATTCCATGGACCTCATCGCCAAGCTTCCTACTATCGCCGCGAAGATCTACCGCAACGTCTTCAAGGACGGCAAGGTTGCTCCTATCCAGAAGGATAAGGATTACTCCTACAACTTGGCCAACCAGCTCGGCTATGGTAACAACAATGACTTCGTTGAGCTCATGCGTTTGTACCTGACCATCCACTCCGACCATGAGGGTGGAAACGTCAGCGCTCATACCACCCACCTTGTTGGTAGTGCTCTGAGCTCCCCTATGCTTTCTTTGTCTGCCGGTCTGAATGGATTGGCTGGTCCCCTTCACGGATTGTATGTTTATCCCTCATTAAAAGCAACACGAACTAGAAATAAATGGGAAGACGAAAGGATGGAAGAGTCAATCTAGCTAACCTACATACTTCAACAGGGCAAACCAGGAAGTGCTTAACTGGCTCACAAAGATGAAGGCTGCCATTGGCAATGACCTCAGTGACCAGGCCATCAAGGACTACTTGTGGTCCACTCTCAACGCTGGTCAGGTTGTTCCCGGATACGGTCACGCTGTCCTGCGTAAGACAGATCCTCGTTACGTTTCTCAGCGCGAGTTTGCCCTTCGCAAGCTCCCTGATGACCAAATGTTCAAGCTCGTCAGCCAGGTTTACAAGATTGCTCCTGGCGTGCTGACTGAGCACGGCAAGACCAAGAACCCCTTCCCCAATGTCGATGCTGTAAGTCTATTGCACATTCTTAGATCCTCCGATTACAAGCCGAAGAATGCTGATCTATCTTTAGCACTCTGGTGTCCTTCTTCAGTACTATGGCCTGACTGAGGCCAACTATTACACCGTCCTGTTCGGTGTCTCTCGTGCTCTTGGTGTCCTGCCTCAGCTGATCATTGACCGTGCCCTTGGTGCCCCCATTGAGCGCCCCAAGTCCTTTAGCACTGAGGCTTTCGCCAAACTTGTCGGTGCCAAGCTGTAAATTCATTGAATGATGCGAGAATCGGAGGAGGGTTTTATGATTAAGCACACCATTTTGTATTTTTCCCTTACTATTTTATTAGACTAGGATGCGACGAGTGCTGTGGTTAGTTTGATTAATGTATGATAGGACCTGGTCCGGGCGGGCCTTGTAACAGCGCACCAATATCGTGTCGATCTTTTGACTAGATGGCTTCTTTATCCCATCTCTTGCTTGAAAATAATTACCACTATAAATTAGAAACACACCACTCTGGTGTCAAATCCCATTCCATCTCGAGAGGGGAAGGCAATGCCAGGGATCAGGAAGGAAGACTAATGTTAAGTAACTATGGTAACAATGGTAAAGCAGCCGCCAATACGCAGGTACAGTACTAATTACAGTGGGCATGTCTGTGCATAAGTGCGGTTCCTTTCGAACCACCTTGTGATTTCCGAGGTTTATCTGGACTCTTGCTGTGTAATGATCTCACGACTGATGTCTTATCACATGAATAAGTGTTCAGGTATATATAATACTGTAGGTATGTAAGCCGGTACTCATACTAGTAGTATCTCAGACACATATTGAACAAAGCTTTCCCTAAAATAGAAAGAAAAATACATACAAGGTAAAGAGAATACAAATTTACTAATCAGTGCTAAGAACATGGTATCTTCCAACCAGCCTGGGAAGAAGAACAAATAATATACAGAGGAAGTCCCACAGAGTACATACATTTAGGTAAGGCTCAACATAGTGATACTTCGTTTTCTAAAGCCGATACACATACAATTGGTATGACCCGTAGTAAAAGTGGGTAGTGAGTTGGCTGTGAGAGTTTGTTTACATCTTGAGAAATATCTGGGGCATGAGCCAGGGAGGTTGAGTGGAATTCGAGACTAGGATCAGGACAGCTCAACCATTTCTGTAAATTGCGGCGTCTCAGGACAGCGAATACAAGAATAGGTAATGTTGGGGGGCACCCGATTTGCTCCGTTGGCTCAACTGAAGCCAATTACACCGCCGGACCACACTGGGCCTAGTGCCAGGACTCAGCCTAGAAATGCTCCAATTAGGTTTAGTGTCTCCCCAATGTCCCCGACGTCGGTTTTGTTTTTGCAGTTGAGGGGGAACGGCAACTGGCCTTAGGCCGTCGAGAGCCTAGTCGGGCCTAGCACCTAGTTAACTTGGAGTACGTACGCCGGGTAATCCATCCTCCTAGACTTTATATTTCCAATCTTTCCTGTTCTGTTTGGCCATCATTGCTTCTCCTTCTATCTCTACTTTATCGGCTATCTAAATTGGCCCGCCATTCATAAACGTACACCTTTCCAAGGACTAATACCAGCTCTTGAAGTTCGATTGAAAGCAATCGTCCCCCTGAATTTCCTATTGCAAACAACAATCGACTTTTCCTGATCCCTTAGGCGACGAAGCCCCCAACATCCCTTGGTCAGGGCCCCTTTCAGCGCTCCCCAAGGTTAGAAATGTCTACAGCTACAGCTGAGATGGCCCCTTCCGGCCACAAGCTCGAGAAGAAGCCCGTCAAGTTCAGCAATCTATTGCGTAGGTGTCGCCCAACATTATAGAGAACGGCATGGTTCTAATAGTCTTTGTGCAGTCGGTGCAGGATTGAATATGTTCGAGTAAGTAATGCGGTCTACACTCTATGTCCACCATGCGAGTGAAAAGGGGGAGTTTCAGTACTGACATAATTATTAGGGTCACCACTTTGGGACAGGTGCCCTTTTCCTAGTATACCCAACAGAATCTGGTGGTTGCTAATGTATAGTTCAGCCGCTGGAAGTGATCAAGACGACCATGGCCGCCAATCGAGGCGACAGTTTCGCCAGCGCTATGGGTCGGATATGGGGTCGTGGCGGGATCCTCGGTTGTAAGTAGCCTTCTGTTCCTTTGGCCGACTAGTGTGACGGCCGTCTCTGACATGGGATGTCTGTGCAGATTATCAAGGTCTCATTCCGTGGGCCTGGATTGAGGCCTCCACCAAAGGCGCCGTCCTCCTTTTCGTCGCGTCCGAGGCGGAATTCCGTGCCAAGGTGCTCGGTGCGCCAGACTTCCTCGCTGGTATCTCAGGAGGTATGGCGGGTGGTGTTGCCCAGGCATATGCCACTATGGGCTTCTGCACCTGTATGAAGACGGTCGAGATCACCAAGCACAAGATGGCTGCTCAGGGTGTAAAGCCTGCAAGCACCTTCGCGACATTCATGGATATCTACCGCAAGGAGGGCATCCGTGGTATCAACCGTGGTGTGAATGCAGTTGCTATCCGTCAAACTACGAACTGGGGCTCCCGTTTCGGTCTTTCTCGTCTCGCAGAATCAGCAATTCGCAAGGTGACCAACAAGGAAGAAGGACAAAAACTGGGTGCCATGGAGAAGGTCTTAGCCTCCGGCCTCGGTGGTGGCCTCTCTGCTTGGAACCAGCCTATTGAAGTCATTCGTGTGGAGATGCAGAGTAAGAAGGACGACCCCAACCGGCCTAAGAACCTAACTGTTGGCAAAACCTTCAAGTACATCTACGAGACCAACGGTCTTAAGGGTCTTTACCGTGGAGTTACTCCCCGTATAGGACTAGGAATCTGGCAAACAGTCTGCATGGTGGCTCTCGGTGACATGTGAGTTGACCTTTCCCCTAGGTGTTTAGGACTAGATGTACTTTTCGGGCCAAGGCTATCATGCCCCGAAAGCACTAGTTGTCTGATTACCTCCATATCCCCGATCTTCATGTGATAGCCGAGGGGCGGTGTTTGGCTAACGTGTGGGTCTGTCGTACCGAATAGGGCCAAGGAGGCAGTCGAAAAACTGACGGGCGATCAAGTCACCGCTAAGCACTAGAGAAGGTTTGAGATACCCTTCTACTATGCACGGCCCGCGGATGACTGGGCAGTTGAGTCTCGTATTTAAATACGGATGGGCTGGAGTTACCGTCAATCACGTGCGTTGGGGGGAGTCATATTTCCCGCCTATAATAGTACCTATGGATAGTAATCGGTACTGATAGTGGGAGTCTTGCCTTCCAATGATTATTAATATATATTTTCACTTTTGCAACCACCATATATATATCTCTATACTCCGTATATATTCTGTGTTTATGATGTTCTCCAGTTGAAGCCGAGGATTACCAGTCATGCAGTACTCACTTCGCCTATCTAGGGAAATCCCGAAGTTTCGCGTAATAAATACTCGGTGATGATAATGTAAAGGGTGTTATGAGCGCCTAAATACAAGGTAACATCAGCGACCATGATGGTGTGATCCCTTTTTGTAAGCGAATGTATCCCATTCGATCTTTAAGCTAGTTAACTGGTCGCTCGCAGAAGAGTAGGGAACAAGCACCACTCGATGTATGAAAGTACTACCACTATCTGATGGGGATGGATATCTCCAATGGTTAGATCGTGATATATAGTACTGTTAGTATTGCCTATGATGTCCGTCTTTATGTATGTGCTCCCTAGCTATTGGCACGATAGATAATCGACTGTATGTTTTAGCTTTATACTGATTTCTGTAGCCTTCCATATCGTTACAATAACGTCAACACCGCAACGGCAGCCGAGGGACCTAAAATTTGCCCGATTAAACTCTCCTGGGGGGAAAACTTTAGAAGCCGGAATAGAGCACATGAACCCATACTACACTGCAATGTGAAGAGTATTGGATAAGGTACAATTGTATTACAGTCACACAACCACAATCACGACACAAAGGAAATATCTGCGAAGACTGATCTAGACACATGAGAAGGGGGTGATGCTTTTTTGCAAAGACAGTCTAATATGTATTGTATACATTTTAAACGGTCAGACCAAGGTCCTCGCCGTAAGGGAGCTGGAAGAGATCTCCGACGGAGGCGACGGAGGCCTTGCCAGAGAGGAAGTTCTTTGCGGCCTGTGAAAGAAAATTAGCTATCCTCCTGTTTTCGAAGATACCAACGCAAAATAAATATGATATACTTACATCCGTAACCTGGGCCTCCGTAACGGCGTCAATGCTTTGGGCGATTTCGCCGATCTGGTAAGGCTTGCCGCCGTTGAGAAGGGCAGAGCCAGTGGCCTCAAGACCAGTCTCGAGGTTCTGAGCCGACTCAAGAGCACGGAACTTCGCCAGCGCGACTGCCTTCTTGATGTCTTCGCTAGCAACTTCGCCGGCGGCAACCTTTTTGAGGGCATCCACAGCATTCTTGCTGGCTGAAGCAACATGATCGGCCTTACCAGAAAGCGAAATAGTGAAGAGGCCAGCATCGGAGTAGGTGTGGCTCTTGGTAGAGGCACGGACCTGGGAGAAGCCCTGAGTAGCCTGAGCCAGGAGGGAGAAGCCAGGAGTCCACTTAATAGTGGTCTCACCACCGAGGAGGGCAGCAAGAACAGAAGCCTCAGGCTTGTAGCCAGACGTGCCGAAAGCCGCGGATCCAGGGAATGCAATGACAACAGCGTTACCGGCTTTGGAAGAGATACGCTGCTCACCACCATGGTACTTGGAAGTTGTACCGGGATGGAGCTGATACTGACCAGAGCTGCCAGAGCTGGGGAGTTCCTTGAAGAACTGGCCAACCCACTTGGACAGGTCAGCAGAGTTCGAGCCACTACCAACAAGGGCAATGTTGGACTTGGCATAAGCCTGCTGGGCGAACTCGGCGAGAGCTTCAGCCGAAAGGTATTTCTCGAAAGGAGTAGTGGTAGAAGGGGTAATGCTCTCACCCAGGCCACGGTGGAAGGCCAGAGCATGGACAGCATCGACAGCCTGCTGCTCAGGGTTGGCGGCAAGGGCTTGCTGTCTGAGTTTGAGGTGCTTGATGACGACCTCATTCAATTCGTGGGCTGATGAGCCTGATTAGCCCATATACCGGAGCCGATATGACCACTCTGTCGACATACCTGCAAACTTTGACTGAGAAGCAACCTCTGCCAGCAATTCGGCAAAGTAAGGAAGATCGTTCGAGAGGAATTTGGCCTTGAGGACAACATTTTCACGCGAGTGTGTCGAAGAAACTTCACCGCCGAGCAGTTCAACCTCCCGGTTGATCCGCAACGCCGACCGTTTGAGTGTGGACTATCAATTGATCAAAACCTCGTCAAATCCCATCTCACATAGTAATGCGGAGCCAGTAAGAGTGGGCATTGTGTGCCGGAACTAACCTTGAAGGCGAATTGTTCGAGAGCATCGGAGAACCCAGGGAAAGGCTGGTAACGGGGCCCGGCCTTTGCAACCAACGCCAGGGTTGCTGTAGGGCCTGTTACTTCTCTATTGGCGAGCTTCACGCCAGAAGCCTCAGTGACATCGTACTGAAGGCCTGGGGTCGCAGCAGAGGCCATGTTTCGACGGCTGTTGATGCCGGCAGCAGAGCACTGCTTCTGGAGCGCACGGGGCGCATTTCGGCTGAGAGAGGACCGCGACAGCATTATCGCATGTGCGGAATATAAAAGATGTGAGGAGAAATATAGAAAGCCGAGGAGCTCGACAGCAATTGGGGAGGGTGGAGTGAGAGGGAGAGCAGAAGAGTGCTTCTGACTGTCGTTGGGCGGGTTGGAAACGATGTCTGAAAAGCTTCAAGATGCCGGAGCCTTGATTACTTCCTCTCTGATTGGCTAGAATGGCGAGTGCGGGCGGAACCGGCTTTTCCTTCTCCTCCGTGTCAGCTGATATCACATGATATTTTGCTGCACGTGAGCCCCAGCGAAGCATTGCGATAAGAGAAAAAAAAAAGTAGGACAGAGAGGGGAAAGGGTAGCTTGCGTCGTTTGCTCTGCAACCAGTTTGCGCTTCCCTTATCCATTAGCTGGTCGATACCATTCCCCTATGAATATCTGGCGGTGACCGCTGTTTCCTTCTAGAGAATTGAAGCTGCTAAATTCTCTAGAAGTCTTGAGCTAATATGACTTCCCAAGTATGCGATTGCTCCATCTACATAAGTCTCACCCATTAACTTGATCAATGGTAGTATGTTAGCGAGCTCTGTGCGCTCCTTGTCGAAGATAACTTTGGGGAACTATTTGCGGTAGGTTTGCACTTAGACACCCGTCGACTACTTTTCCACCCATGCCCGGGACCTTAACGCGGAACGAAATGCATGATGTGGCTGACTCTGATCTACCTCGCGGACATAGCGCATTTTCTCAACACTAAGTCGCTATGATCGTCTCTCCTTTTCTCGGCTGAGATTCTACTCCCGCCTCTCCATCTCCCAGCTTCGCCATGGCCTCGCAGCTATGATTCAGCAACACCTTGTCTACCACTACACGTCCTACGATGACGGCATTACGTACTACGAACCCAACATGCAATCCGCATACTATCTCGTTCGATCCGGGAAGATCTTGGAGTTTATAGAACATCGGTTGGGAAAATATGCAGCCGCTGTTATGTCGACCATCATGTTTCTTGGCCATGCGCAAGTCGGCTATCTCGAAACCCTTCCGGCTTTGAGACCTTCGAATTCCGACGTAAATAAAGCTAGTGGGGAGCTTGAAGGAATTCATGAAACCGAAGAGTATCAAGAAGAGGAGACACACCAGGAAGCTGAGGAACATGAGAAAACTCAAGACCGACCGAATGGGCTCAATAGTGATTATATTTCTACTGAACACCCAGCTCTTCTTCACCCGACTTTGAAAGCTTTGGCAGGACATGGCTACATATTACGTGTCAGGGATGCTCAATTCCAAAGCTATGCTGACAACGCTTTGGATGCCGAGCGCACAATTAAGTCAAGACCAGACATTAAAGCCCTTAAGGGAAAGAAACTAGAGGAGGCGGTTACCGAGGGGACGCTCGAATTGCTCAAAGAACGGTTGGACGGAGACCTCACTCGCGGGTTGATGTTTAATGGAGTACCCCGAGGAGCTAAACGGAGACATATTACTGGAGCTACCGGGGCACCTAATAAAAAGGCGCGAGTTGACTATGCTGCTGTCGATGAGGATGAGGACGGTGAAGAAGAAAACGAGTGGTCAGACGATGAGTTTGGTGAAGACACAATACCCATGGAAGTAGGTCTTCCCTTTCCCTAAGCTTTCAGAGCCCCGTTTCGGCGGTTAATTCAAAGGAGAAACTGATGGAACGGTGCTTAGTCTGGTATCACTGTACGCATAAACTATGAAAAATTGGATGTCGCTCTCCGAAACCGCCGTTTCTTGGAACTTGCAGAGCGGGACTCATCTCCCGTAACAGCCGAAGTTTACGAAAGTCTTCTACGACGTATCGAGTACCAGACAGCGAAATGCCGAGATACTAGTGAAATCCCGCGTGAGGGCGAGGAGGGCGAACACTATTCTGTGCCAGTTCCTCTAAGAGCGGTGGTAGAGGATGTTGACCTATTGCTGGACCTGGCAGGGTCAGTTGGTCCCATGGAGGTCTCCCAGCCTATAAACAGCCGCGGCAAGCGACAGTTGGGAGAACACACGAACGGTGCATCCCATGATGGGACCAACGGGGCGCAATCAGATGGAAATCGTACTTACGAAGTCGACCAGCATCTCTGCCTTCTAGCTCAGCCACCTTATAGCCTCACCTCCAAACGTATGGTTTCAGGCCTAATCACCTGGACTGTCGAGTTCCGTCACTTGGCACGCAAGCTTCGTCATCTCGAACTGGAACGTATTATCGAAGCGAGATATGGGGATGTTGCATTACGGGTTGTCCGTGTACTCCATGACAAGGGCAAGCTAGATGAGAAACGTCTACAGGAAATCAGCCTTCTTCCATTCAAAGACCTACGCCAGGTTCTCGCCAGCATGCAGACGGGCGGTTTTGTCGACTTACAGGAAGTGCCGCGAGACGCACTACGACAGCCTTCAAAAACCATTTTTCTCTGGTTCTATGACCCTGACCGCGTCAGTAATAGTGTCCTGGAGGATACGTATAAGGCAATGTCTCGATGTTTGCAGCGCCTGCGGTTCGAGCGGAATCGGTTGAAAGAATTTCTTGAGAAGACAGAGCGAAGCGATGTCAAGGGCAACGAGGAACGATACTTGTCTGAAGCAGAACTAACCCTACTCGAACAATGGAGGGCGAAAGAGGCACTCTTGCTGGGAGAAGTAGCCCGGTTAGACGACATGGTGGCTGTAATGAGGGACTACTGAGGCACTAAAAACCGTAATGAGCAATGAAATATGGAATTTCACATTTGCATGTCCATTGATATGGCTGAACGGTTATTGCTGTGCAGGTCAGCTCCACAAGGGCCAGCCTCTCGCGGTTGATGTTCACATATTATATGATCTATTGTAGGACAAAGCTGCTTCATTTTCAACCACCAGAGCCCGATCACTTTATACTTAAGAGACGTAGGATACCTGGTACTACAAATCGTAAAATAGAGAATGCCAGAGAAATAGTCTACCAGTCCTAATAGCAAAGCTCTCATCCAAATAAAATAGGAGCAGGCAACAATATAGAGCTGATTTCAAGTCAAGAAATGACTTGCTGAAGCGGTGTTGATATTAACATAGTAAGACAAGAGCATAGGGCGCGAAGGCTTGAAGCTAGCAAAAAGAACGAGGAATGGAAAAACCACGGCCACACCAGATCACCATTGA